AAGCAGGTAAGTAGATTCGAAATAAAAGAAAATGGATTATTATTTTTCAGAGAAGGAACAGAAGAGCCGAGATTATGCATAACAAAAGAATCCGAAGAACAAAGACCATTATTAAAAGAAAGCCACAACCTGAATAGGCATTTCAGATTCGAAAAAACCTACGAGGGATTAAGACAAAGTTACTATTGGAAAAACATGAGTAAAGATGTGAAAAAATATACAAGAAGCTATGATAGCTGTCAGAGAAACAAAAGTTCCACACAAGCGCCAGCAGGATTATTGCAACCTTTAGAAATCCCAGCACAATCTTGGGAAATCGTGTCGATGGATTTCATAACACACCTACCACGTACAAGAAATGGGAACGATTCAATTATGATAGTGATAGATAAGTTGAGCAAAAAGGTACATTTTTTACCTACCAGAAGTTCCGTAACAGCAGCAGAAGTCACCCAAGTCTTTTTCAAGGAAATTTTCAAACACCATGGCCTATCTTGTTTTATAGTTTCCGATAGAGACCCAAAATTTACAAGTAAATTTTGGAAGTGCCTTTTCAAAATAATGGGAACAGAGTTAAAAATATCAACATCAGCATATCCACAAACTGATAGACAAATGGAACGTACAAACAGAATTCTCGAAGAAGTCTTGCGTGCCTATGTAAACTACAAGCAAGACAATTGGGAAGAAATTTTGCCCGCCGCAAAATTTTCTTACAATAATTTGTTACAAGGATCCACAGGTTATACACTATTCCAATTAGATAACAGACACCATCCAAGGACACCATTAAGCCTAACAAATGAAAAGGTTAACCAACAAATGTTAAAGCAGCACAAGAACTGTTTAAGCATTGGACTGAGATAATAAATATAGCAAAAGATTCGTTAGTAAATGCTCAAGAGAAACAAAGTGATCAAACTAACAAAAAGTGACATTATCTAGAATTAAATGAAGGAGATTTAGTATTATTGAATTCGACAAATATAATTTCACAAAAAAATGCAAAAAGGGTATCAAAGAAACTTATCGCAAAACTCATAGGACTCTTCAAAATCGTTCAGAAAATTTCAGCAATAACATATCGATTAAAACTCATGGAAATACTACGTATTCATCCAGTTTTCCACGTATCCTTATTAAAACCTTACTACCCTAGTGAGTTTAGAGATGAAGTAAGAAAAGAACTCCCAAAAATTGCAACCAAAAATCCAGAAGAACACGAAGTCGAAGCCATACTAGACAAGAGAACATACTACTGTCGCCTACAGTACTTAGTAAAATGGAAAGGTCTCCTACTATACGATGCTACTTGGAAACCCTTGACTAATCTTGAAAATTACAAAGACTTGGTAAAAGAGTTTGAAAAAACCAGTAAAACTGTTTTAAATGGGAAAAGTGTAAGAGAACCATCGGGTTACATAGTACTAT